GGTGACGCGGCGTTGTCTTGTTCTTGTTACCGAATTCTAGATTTCTAGGTTTTATTTTAATAATTCCACAATTCCTTACAATACGATTTGGAATTACGTTTTCAGGTATTCTTTTATTTTAATAAATAGTTATTTATTGTTAGGGTTGTCTGTTTTGGTTACTATTTAGTTATTTGTTATTTTTAATCTTAGTCCAATTTCTCATTTTTATTGGGAGATATCGACAAAACCAAAAAAAAAAAATTCATTCGGGTTTGTGAAATATAATTATAGTTTTAAGTAATATGCAGACTCCTTATTACTTATCGGCCATCGAACTTGGTTTGATTTAGGGTTTACGATCTACCGGTAGGAGTGCTTGATTATAATTGTAATCGGAAGGAAATAACCCTTTAAAAGAAGAAGCAAACCGTTTGATTCGCTTGGATGCAGTATCGAACACAGAGGTGCTGTAATCCGCTAACCGTCTTATTATCCGATGGCAAAATGAGTAATTAAATCTGCACACTTTCAGTAATGTATCCTATAGAACATCGAGAGTAGCAACATTTCCTGTGCTCGAGATTGACAAAAATGGTTTGAACTAGCCAGGGTCACTAATAAGCTTTTTAGATATCTTTTTTTTTAGTCTGCTTTCGCCTTGGACATAATAGTACATTCTATGTTGAGTGAAAATGTCAAATATACAACTTAGCCAAAACAATTAAGCCCATGACAGGAATGCGGTTTCGGCGCCCGCACTCCACCTCTATTCCTCCTGCTTCCCCTAGTGACCAATCACCATTCCAGTGTTTCTTCCCTCATTCTAATGATGTCAGTCATGTGGTATATACTGCATGAAAATGCACACTTAAACTACTCTTTCAACTATCCTTCATTAGGCCTGCTAGAAGAAATATCATCATGGACTAAGCAGTGCCTTTGTGTGTTCTTTACACCGTTTTCCTATGAAAATATGTGTGTACATAAACTATGAAATAAATAAATACATTGTAAAAGTAATTTTTTGAGAACAGTGTGTGTGCAACAATGAATGTAAATAAAACCAAGGCAATAGTGCCACAACAACTCTGACAAAAAATGATAGTGCTTCAATTGTACATAGATTTTTAAATAATGTAGTTTTTGTAAGTAGTGCTTAAGGGTTGGGTTTGGTATCAAGACTCCTGAATTAGAGGATTCTGTCACTGTGGGGGGGGGGGGGGTCAAGGGGGCTTATCTCATGTGCCCATAAAATTAGCTGCTGGAGCTGCATCAAAAAATTTAAAATGATTTTCTTATAATATTTATAAATCACTAATTAATACCCAAAATGGAACTTAAATTACACTTAATTCTTCATTTTTTAAGTTGCATATTTCAAAATGCATATAATGCTTTTCAAAAACAAATAGAAACAAGCACCACAATTGACACAGATTATTGGAGAGCCACAGATATGACTGCCTTGCAGAACTACATGGGTACACCTATAAAAATGTCAACCGTTCAGACCATTTCAAAACATTCGAACATTTGTGGCTCCAGACGGGACTCACACACAAAGGATTGAGTCACCATGGAGAGCCATGAAGTGTTTAAAAAAGAGATAATTACAATAATCCAGAGAATTTTGGTGATGCAATAGTGGAGGTGAAACATTATGAAATAGTTTACAACAGGTTGTTTTCTGCAACTCCATGTCTAAGCGCGTATTTTGCGTGTGCACAGGAATAATGTGATTATTCGAGCCATGAAATTTCCCCGAAGAAATTTAACAGTCCCTTGATGTTGCAAGCAACTTCGAGGATTGAACTCGGCATTCCAAGATGTTTAGCCCGGCATGCAGCAACTTCCGGACATGTCAGCAATACATGAGCCATTGTTTCTTCCTCCACATACATGCCCCGCACAGAGAACTATCTGTTACACCTATGGTAAATAAATGTTTGTTAAAGGAGCCATGTTCTGTGATAGCACTTGTTACTATCCTGGTCTGTTCAGTCTCATTAGAAACTTGTTCAGTCTCATTAGTTCTCACAAGTGTTTATTTCAGGCAGGGTCTTCCTAGGTTGTCAACAGTCTACAAGATTAGTGAAGTTTACACCATGTAATGTTACATACCAGTGAACAAATGTTACCAAAGGGGATTGATATTATAGGTCCCGGCCCTATAGTGGCCAGAGCCAATTCTCTTCTGGCCAGTTAATTTCCTGCATTGTTGCCTCTGGATCTACAGTGTCCCTTTGAAGTATAATAAAGATCCATTTTTGGAAATAGTGGAAGTGATAAAATATATTTACTTATTAAATAAAATTTTGTTTTGTTTGGTGCAAGAGCGAGCGAAAAACTCAGAAATTAGGGCACCCCGACTCAGACAGGTTAGGTTAGAAGAGGATGGCGGGGACGAGTGAGCTAACGAAGCGAGTGGACAGACCCCGCCATCCCCTTCGTGGTTTCTTATAAATCATTAAGAAATAGGAGCAGGGCTCAATAGACTACACTTTAGTATTATTTCGACGGAGAGAGGACACCCCCTACCTTCCTATTAATGCAGTTTTTCTCAGAACTCATTTAATAAACATTTTAATCTTTAACATTTAATATAAAAAATACTAAGCACCCAGCAGGGGAAAAGGTGTGGGGCTAATCTACCCCTCCTCCACACCCCTTCACCCACCCCCAACCCCATTAAGGTGACGTGATACTAAATCTATCATGTGATACTAAACATTTACAGTCTTTAATTATGTGTTGTTTTGAATTTCAGTGTTATTCTTTAGATTACTATGAAATCTATACGGGGAAGAAATCCTAATTTTGATAATTTTGATGAAGGTCCTGATGATGAATGGGATGATTATGGACCAAGACCGAACATGGGCAATTTTAGGTATGACATCAAATATGTTATTTTTTTCTTATCATTTAGTATATACATATAATTAATATTGTTAAATTAGTGATAAAAACTAAAAATAAAATTACTTTTGTTCTTAGTTTTTCTCTTTATGTAAAGCAAAAACTACATATATTTAAAATATTGAAATATGTTTTGTGAAAGTTTTGCCTATATTTACTACACTATAGTCAGGTTGGCAAGCACAGAATTCATACCCACAAACTGATAATGCATGATTTATTTGGTATCCCTTTAGTCAATCATCATAGCATTGACGTTTATCACCAAAAAGTATAACTTTCTGGAGAGTTGGCAAAAGGAAAATTTCCCCTTACACTTCTCAAAATGTTATTTAATAATTTGAATGTGGTTAATTCTGTAATGTGGCTGCATACCAGCTGGTATTTTGCTCTTACAAAGTTATTATCCATAAGATATTCCATCTAGTCCTCAAGAATCCATCTGTATCTTGATATGTAATTGTTGAAAGATGTAGGAGTATATGAACCCTAGCATCCATTAACCATCAGCTGTAATGTGAGCTTGTATGTCAGCCTTCTATAAAAATATAATTATTAGAAAATATTCTGAATGGTGATTATAAAAACCTAGTGAATTTATTTTAATTAAACTAAAGTCACAAACAGACTTACTATCCACTTGATATTAAGTGGCTACTGCAGCCCATGGATACCTTCAGCTAACTTGAAACAATAAAGCTACAGTTGCTCTGTTACCTCTGAATTAAAATAAAGTCACTAACATACTTACAATCCACTTGTGATAGTAAGTGGCTACTGCAGCCCATGGATACCTTCAGCTAACTTGAAACAATAAAGCTACAGTTGCTCTGTTACCTCTGAATTAAAATAAAGTCACTAACATACTTACAATCCACTTGTGATAGTAAGTGGCTACTGCAGCCCATGGATACCTTCAGCTAACTTAAAACAATAAAGCTACAGTTGCTCTGTTACCTCTGAATTAAAATATGTTAATCCATCTCAATATAAAAAGTGGCTTATTGATAGTTTTGGGTTTAAACTATGTTTATATATTATGTATGTTTAAGTCTTTCACAAAAAATCACAATGTCAGTTGCCTCAGTCTTAGTGATTTGACATTTGCTGTCCAAACCCATACTTTATACTAGCAATCTGCCATGACTTCGCACATATTTTTGGATCTCTGGATCTCGACAACAGCACCTCCTACTGGGTCCAAATGTGAATATTAACCATTTAGGTTAAACCTGAGGCTATTTGTAATCTATTAAAAAAAAAACGGATTGTTTATATATTAATGAATAAACAATGAGCTCAATTTCATTTTGTTGTTTAACAAAAAATTAAGACTACATTTTATAGTCCATCTTTACCAGAAAATGTCCCATTTTTTTTTCTATATGTGTACCACAAAAATAGTAATAATAAGACAATAGAAATGAATTAGCGCTCAAAAACAAAACTGATGTCACCACATTTTAACACATACGCATTAAGCGACTGATCTCTGCAGCCGTGTTATAAAAATTCGCAATGCACAATGATATCTTATGTTTCACATTACATTGTTTGGCAAGTTTGTCAACGTCGCGTATTACGGTAGAACAAAATACGAAAAGTAATAAATGAAAATTTACAAAGTTAAATATCATAGTATTCATCTAGATGTAAATTGGTTAAAACAATGATAATTAGTAAATAATCATCTTACCCATGAAATGTTACGCCTTTATTAGTTGAATTAAGGTTTTCGCACATTATAACAACTCACCGGCGACTCGACTCTATGCTAGACATTGAAATTTAAGCCCTGTATCATATGTTCAAGGTTCAATTTCAAAAAATGATTATAAAGTAGTGTACAACGAGTGGCCTACGCATCGTACACTAGAGGTCAACACCGACACGTTTGTCACGCAATGACCATACGTCGTCCACGCAACGACCAAACGTTGTCCACGTAACGACTATGCGTTTGCGACTGACGCGTGACGGGCAACCATTTGCCAGCCCACCCGTCCGCCCCGTGCCTTCCCCCCGCCCGCCATCATTCACTATAGAATCGAAGGACGGAGTGCACGTTGGCGGTACACGGTGATAATTTTTCGAAAATCATGCTGAAAGAAAAGTTGATAGAAGAAGTGCGAAAATATCCGCTACTATACGACCTTCGTGATCCGAAATATAGTGACGTACATAAGAAGGAAAAGGCATGGAATGAAATCGCTATTGTATTGTCGCAACCAGGTAAGAATTTTTTTTTTGAGTTATTGATTTTGCCATAATCTACAGAAATTCAGCTATCGAACAAATAAATATGTGTGATTCTAATAGATATTAATAATAATGTTAAAACTTATAAGTCATTTCATTAAAGTACATTGTTGAGAAAATTTAATTCAACCTGTTACATCCAAAAAGTAGGTATGTTATTGTACAGTTAACAGTACCTACGATTTTCTACTTGGACACTCGAAAAATCTTGGTTTATCGTAAAAATTAGTTTTTTCACATACAGTAATATAAAATCCCAGAATTTACTGATATAAAATATTAAATCTACGTCATATATATTTTTTTTTTAGTTTGGGTTTCTGTATGTTATAATAAAGTGCCTTACGTTTATTTAATATAGGTAATCAGTAATAAAATCCCAGCTTAGTATAGAAACTTGTTTAATATTCTTAATAAGCCAATAATATTATAACCAACTTCTTACGATTATTACATATTATTAATTATACATGATCTATATTAAATGCTGCCACGGAACTCGTCCTTCGGGAGATTGAAAATAAGTTGCAAATATATCACGAGTTTCAAAAGCAGATGCCGAAGATTCACTTATATCTTCTGGAATTGTACTTAGATTACTTAGTAATCTCTGTTCATCATCATTATTGGCCGAACTCTGCCTTGTGTTGACTTCATCATCGGATGTTATATTATAACACCGCATGACATTGTGTAAAATACACGTCGCAAAGACCACAATATCAACATATTTTGGGTGTAAATGCAAATTCTTATTATAAATTCCAAATTTTTGATATAAGATGCCGAACGCGTTTTCAACTACTCTGCGAGCTCGCGATAAGCGATTATTGTATATTCTTTCCTTTTCTGAAATGCCACTTGAACGTGGATATGGTCGCAATAAATTCCTTTTTAAAGGAAACGCTTCGGTCGGCTACAAAAACATGTGGCATTATTATTTCAGTACCAGGTAATGGTGTGTCAGTTGGAATATTAAATGTATTCATTTCAATCGCTCTTCCTAATCTTGACGATGCCAAAATTCCGCCATCACTATTCTTGCCATAGGCCCCTATATCGACAGCTATAAATCTGTATTTATCATCGACGACAGCCATGAGGACGATAGAGAAGTGTTTTTTATAATTAAAAAATAGCGAGCCGCTGCTAGGAGGAGCAATTATGTTTACATGTTTGCCGTCGATGGCACCTATACAGTTTGGAAAATTCCATTTTTTATTGAAACCATCTGCGATTCTTTTCCAGTCTTCGGTAGTAGGTGTGGGCATGAACTTCCCCTTCATTGTATTTATAATCGCATTGCACACATCTTTTAATATCGACCGGATGGTACTTTCGCCTAACCGAAAGCTTGAACTCATAGTCCTAAATGAACAGCCACTAATCAAGTACCTGAAACAACCAATTTTTCTTTATATTTATATTATTTTGTTACAGCGTCAGAATGTAAGAAGATATGGCAAAACTTAAGGGAATATCATAGAAGAGCCATTAAAAAGAAAGCAACTAAAAGTGGTCAGAGTGCTAATACTAATAAAAAATGGCAATATGAAACTGAAATGTCTTTTTTATTACCACATTATAAAGAACGGTCTACAGTGACGTCAGTGGACAACACAGATGATGGTGATGATGAAAATAGCTTATCTGCTGCGGAAATTCTTGCCAATGTGACTAATAATGAAGAATCTCAAGACTCGTCAATTATCTCGGAGCGTCCTGAATCTTCGGTGTCTATGTACGATTCATCTAGATCAGTGTTTCCTGACATTCCAAAAACGACAAAACGAAAGAAATTGCAAGAAACAAGTGCATCGGCGGTTTTAATGGAATATTTATTAAAAAAAAAAAACGATGAAGATGGAAAGCAGAATGACGAAATGGATAAATTTTTTTTAAGTATTTCTAGCACAGTAAAAAAATTATCTACCTATAATCAAGCACTTTTAAAGTCAAGAATTTTTAATTTAGTTTCGGAAGCTGAAATACAAGAACTGCAAAATAATTGAAACTGTTACTATGATGATTTTTTTGCACCAGGAACTTCTGGCTACACAACTCAAAACCTAAATGCAGGTACTACCGGTAGTAGCACCGCTAGCACCCAACAGCAAAATACAACGCCTATGGAAGAATCGAGGGTTGATGGTTCTTCTTAACACAATTAAAGTAAAATTGCTTTGCTTTGATTTATCCTTTAACTTGATATATAAATAAATACATATAAATTATAAAAAAGTTTCTTATTGCTTACCTTAATGTCACTGCCAGCTTTTCTTCCGGTGATACAGCTTCTCTAAATCGCGTGTTTCTTTTGTAGATGTCGTCCTCAATAATATTAAGTATATAATAAAACAAGTATCTCGGCATACGGAAATAGATATAGAATTTTTCTTCGTCATCTAGCAGACGTTTCCGGATATTCCAATATTCCCCTTCTGATTTCCTTTGTCGCAACAAATCATGTACCCAATATCTTCTTTTCCTGCTGTTTCGTTCATTTTCATTATCAAATATAATAGCTATAATCGCCAGTTCACTGAATGTAAAGTTCGACATTTCATAAGCAACACGACTTCTTTGGACAAAATTTAACCGAAAACTGAGGTTAGACGAGTTGTCTGTTGAATAACCCACTCGTTGGCACCGCGTTGGCCACTCCTTGACACCGCGTTGTCCACTAGTGACCATTGGGTGGATCAACTAGTTGACTACTCATCGAGAGTGTGAGTAGAGTTGCTGCCGCGTTGGCGTGGAGTTGTTATAATGTGCGAAGACCTTTACACATCCTTGATGAGTTTTTACTACTGATTATGCTGCAGTTTACCATTATAACATAATTTCACGTTTTTGGGATAGCATGAGAGAGGTCTTGAATAAATGCGGAGAGAATGAACGGATCGTGATGTTTGGGGACTTTAACCTCGTAAGGCCCACTGTACAATTTATTGTACAAAATAACGTATATAATTACAGCCCAGACTTTTAAAACCAATCTTCTCCTAAACGCACAATGTACAATACAATGTACATTATACTTGTATGCATTTTGCTTTTTAATTTTCGCGCCAACCGTAAACTTCTGTGTACGAGGTGACCTGATAACTCACTAGAACAAAATTTGACACATGACATTTGGGATAAATACATAGACAATCTGTCAAATTCAATCATTTTTGCAAGCATGCCGCCGATTCTGCATACACGTGAGTATAAATCTTAATTAATTTATACAATCTGATACTATTTTTTTATGAAAATAAAATAAAATTGAGAATTAACATATTATTTTCATGAAACAATTATTTTTTTGTTTCAAAGAACTCAATTTGTATTTTATATTATTTTACAAAAACTGATGTTCATTTTGTTGCACATTGGGTTTTATTGTATTGTTACATATTATGGTGTGTTGTGGTATTGGGTTTATGTTATCAATTGCAATTTTTTGATTCTAGATCTCGACGATAAAGAAATCGAGGAGTTATTGGAATCTTCAGAAATTGAAGATTTCATTCCATCTGACGTAGACGTAGGTGACCCCGAGTGGTCAATTCACCACGTAAGTGTATCTATACCTTCAACATCATACTCGGGAGATTCTTCCTCCGAACCTGAAAGTGATAAGGAAAACTCCCAAAAGAAAAGAAGACGACGTGGAAGAAAGCGTGGAAAAGGACGAGTAAGGGGTGGAGGCAGAGCAAACCATCAAGCTTCTCCTCTTCTCTCCTCTCCTTCGGAGCGCGGAACAACATCTTCAGGTAATTGGAGTGTTAAAGATTTCCACCCTCGTTTTCCTGAATTGATGCAACCAGCATATTTGTGGACTGACACGGTAGGGTTTGATAAGACTGACTATGTGAAACAATACATAGATGATCAGCTTATTAATCTCATAGTAACGAAAACTAATCAAACTGCAGTAGAAAAAACAGGACGTAGTTTGAACTTAACAAATAAAGAACTTTACATTTACTTAGGAATATCATTTTTGATGGCGGCTATCAATTACCCTAATTTACGGATGTATTGGGAGGCTAAATGGAGAGTACCCCTCATTGCTGATAATATGTCCAGAAACCGATTTTTCTTGCTGAGAAATTCTTTGAAAGTGGTTTTCGACACTGAAGTTACCCCCGCAATGAAAGATAAGGACAAATTATGGAAGATGCGTCCCCTAATCAATCGAATTCAGGCTGGATGTCAAACTCAACAGAAAGATCAGTGCCTTTCATTAGATGAGATGATCATCCCATTTACCGGATCTTGCGCGATCAAGCAGTACTGTCCAGGTAAGCCTAATCCGGTTGGCTTAAAAGCATTTGTATTAGCCAACCCAGACGGTATTGTATGTGATTTTCATATATATCAAGGAAAAACTACCTATGCCAACTACGAACATTTTGGACTAGGTGAAAAGGCTGTCCTTACTCTGACAGAGCCTTTGGTACCTGGACACGTAATTTACTTCGACAGATACTTCACTTCCGAGAAGTTATTGGACGCCCTGGAAATAAAAGGAATTAGAGGGACGGGAACTATTATGAAAAATCGGATTCCTGCTGATGTACGCTCGTTACTGATTGATGACAAAGAATTAATGACTCAAGGACGAGGAAGCAGTCAAGTTTTAGTCCGGAATGATGGTAAATTAGCCTTCACAAAATGGTACGATAATAAACCGGTTTTGCTTTTATCTTCTGTGGAGGCAAAGGATGAAGTTGATAATTGTCGACGGTGGTGTAAAAAAAATAAAGTTTACGTGACCATCCCGCGACCACGAGTAGTGAGAGAGTATAATCAGAAAATGGGAGGAGTGGATCTTGCAGACCGCCTTTTGGCAGTGTGTCCGTATAGATATAGGACCAGAAAGTGGACACAACGGTTCTTTTCATCTATGATTGATTTAGCAATCAACAACTCTTGGCTTCAGTATAAAAAGGATCAGATAAAATCTCTTGTACCTGTAAAGAAAATACAACAGTTGCGAGCTTTTAAGATGGAATTGGGAGAGACTTTTATTGAATCAAATGCTGAACCATCACTTTTGACTGTTTCTGACGGGGATAGTACTAACCGACCCTCATTGAAAAGAAAGAGGAGCATTGCATTCATTCCTGTCCCAAGCAAAAAGTTCCGTACGGTCGGAGCTAAACATTTACCCTTTTTAGCGGAAAAGGTGGGTAGATGCCGTCACTGCCATTACAATAGAACTCAGTTCAAATGTAGAGCCTGCGGTGTCAACTTATGCCTTACAAAAGTAAGAAACTGTTATAGCGACTTCCATAACAGTGAAGAGTCAGCGTGAAAATGGTTAGTGGATGGACATTAAGATTTTGGTTTTATCTTAATGTTAAGTAATTTTTTTTTGTTGATTTGTTATAAGTGTTTTGTTGTTAGTTTCATTGTTGCCAAGATTCATAATTTTAGTTATATTGATATGTTCAAAATAAATTTTGACACATCGATACAGTTATTGTGATAATAGAGAATTACGTATATTCTACAAAGTTTATTTTATTAATAATTTTAGTTCTCATAAACTCCCAATGTACATTTGAATGAACAACGAGCTAAGAACTCAAAAATAGTTTTATTCTATTCTTTACTACAATATAATACCCAGAAAAATTATACAAAAAATTCTAGTTGGGGTTATCACAAAAAAAAATCGTTTTGTTTGCGTGGGCCGCAACGGTATAACAAGATATTGTGCATTGTATTGCACATTGGGCGTTTAGCTCATCTAGTTGTTCACACCTTGGGCTTTACGAGGTTAATGGATGGGTTGGAGTAAAGCGTGATGGGTATGAAGGAGTTCTGGGTATGTTTGGGGACGAGAGAGTGAATGACAATGGGAGAAGCCTGCTTGAAGTATGCTTGGAATGGAATCTGTGCGTGACCAACTCAATGTTGGACCACAAAAAGATCCATCTGTATACAAGAGATGAGGGTGAGTCTAGAAGTATGATTGATTTTGTAATTGTGGATGAAAGACTGAAGAAGAAAGTGCTAGACACTCGGGCATACCGCGGTGTAGGCCTCGACACAGACCACTTCCTGGTCATAGCCCGAATGCGTGGCCTCTTTAAACGGTGGCGACACCGAGGGGCCGAGCCTACGAGTGTTTTGGACAGAGTAAAAGTGGAAAATCTACAAGAAAAAGAAAAGAAAGACGAGTATGTAGAGAAACTGAAAGAAAGTTTTAAAGGGATAGAAGAGATAGGAGTGATTGAAGATTTGTGGGAGACATTTAAGAAAGGGGTTGTAAATGTTGCGATTGAGGTATGCGGGGTAGCTAAAAGAAGGAAAGGGAGAAAGAATGATAACGTGTGGGTGGATAAAGATGTACAAAGGGTTGTGCAAGAAAAGAAGAAAGCGTGGTTGGATTGGTTAGCAACAAAAGCTAACCAAAAAGTTCAAAAGGCAACGGATGACGAGATAAAGGAAGCAAGAACGAAGTATAAAAGATTGAAAACAGCGGCGAAAGAAACTGTGTCTAGAAAGAAAGAAGAACGAAAAGATGATTTCGATAGGAGGCTCACTGAAGATTTCCAGTCAAACATTAAGTTTTTCTGGAAAACCATCAAAACAGCCAGAGGAAAAACTTCTACCTCGGAGCTGAGTACAATCAGTAGTCAAGATGGGAGCATTATAAAAGGAGAAGAATGTGTGTTAAAGAGATGGAAAAAGTATTTTGAAAGTCTGTTTGAAAGAGAGGAAGTGCAGGTACAGCATCTGCCACCTTCCACGGAAACGAATATAAATGTTGATGAAAATGAGATAAGCATGGATGAAATAGTGAAAGCGTTAAAAAGTATGAGATTAGGTAAGGCTGCAGGGTATGACAGGATTACCGTCGAGATGCTGAGGGCTGGACAGGGCCTGGTGGCTAGTCAGCTGTACCGCCTTTTCAATCTGTGCTGGCGAAATGGGCAAGTGCCGGGAGACTGGTGCAAAGCCGTAATCGTGCCATTGTATAAGGGAAAAGGGTCACGGCAGAACTGCATAAATTACCGTGGTATAAGCCTTCTTAGCGTCGTCGGTAAATTGTATGCGAAAGTGTTGATTGAAAGGGTTGTGAATGAAACAGACGAGAAAATATGGGATGCACAAGCGGGATTTAGAAAGAGAAAAAAGAATGGGATGTACGGATCAGGTCTTTTCCTTGTGGTGCATAGCCGAAAAGTGTTTGGCTAAAAACAAGAAAGTCTACTGCGCCTTCGTAGATCTAGAAAAGGCCTATGATAGAGTGGTGAGGAATGAATTGTGGTCAGCACTGTCCATGAACGGTGTGAGCAGTGTCCTCATACGAGCATAACAATCTCTTTATAGGGATTCTAGTGCTTGTGTAAGGATAAACAGGGCATACACTGAATGTTTTAATATCGAAAAAGGTGTTAGACAGGGATGTGTAGCGTCACCGTGGCTGTTTAATCTGTTCATGGACAATTGTATGACAGATTTAAAAGAGAATGAAAGTGGGTTGAGAATGAATGAGTTACTCGTCAAATGTTTTCTCTATGCTAATGACCAAGTATTACTTGCGTCTTCGGCCGAGGAGTTGCAGGAGATGGTAACTGCTATGAGTGGAGCTTTTGTTAGAAAGGGAATGAAGATGAATGTAAAGAAGACGAAAGTGATGGTGTTTGAAAAAGATGAGGCAGTGACAGACTGCAATATCGTGATTGAAGATGAACAAATTGAACAGGTGAAAGAGTTTGTGTATCTGGGGTCAAAGTTTACAAGAGATGGAAAGTGTGAGAGTGATATCGAAAGAGTGAATGCAGGAAACATGGTGAATGGAGCTTTGCACTCCTTTATGAGCAGTCGGAAAGTGTCTAACAAGGCTCGTTTGGCTGTGCATGAGGGGGTGTTTGTTCCGACACTCATGTACGGAAGTGAAAGTTGGGTATGAGCATTAAGAAGTATGATAGGAGTTAAACTGAGTGACAGGATAAGAAATAGTGAGATAAGGAAACGTTGTGGTCTGAAAGAAGATGTAGTGACAAAAATTGAGAAAGGTATGCTGAGATGGTTTGGCCTCATCGAAAGAATGAATGAAGAACGATTGACGAAAAAAGTGTATAAGGCGAGTGTGAATAGAAGTGCTGGAAGGGCGGACTTTTCTAGACCAAATTAGGGACGTCTTGAAAAAAAGGCCAGGTTAAGAGTACCCTAAACCGTAGAGCATGTATGAAGGGAATAATGAAAGTAGACGAAGCGAAACAAGTATGTAAGGATCGTAGCAAGTGGAAAGAAGTGGTCTCTGCCTACCCCTACGGGAAAGAGGCGTGATTATATGTATGTATGTATGTAATTTCACGTACGACGTTCCCCGCGCAACTAAATCAAAAATGGTGAATGATGTTCGTTAACACATCATAGTCAACGACAAGGTCACGCGTCTATGCCACTTCTATTGTCTTATTATTATGATTTCTGTGATCTTTAGAAGTGTCTGTAATATTTAAATAACTGAGTTCTATTAAGCTCAGGGGTTATTTTTCATGCTATTAAGGCAAATAACCATTTATAAAAATTTTGCATTTGTCTGTTCGGGCTAATTTCCAGAATGGCTGAACTGATAAGCTTAACGAATAAATAGAGATCAATACCAGAAGGGTATTGGTAGATATAGTTATCCGAAAAAGGGGTTAGCTGTAGACATATGGTACTTGATTTTAATTATGTTTTCAGTTTAGGAGGCTTGTCAGAGTAAAGCTTGATCCTTATACATTGTTTTTGGAGTTCTAAAATGCTTTTTGATTTAATTACGTTAAAAATATTTTTTTCTAAAAATTACATATAATGAAACGCAAAAACGTCAATTTGTTTTTTTTTTTTTTTAAATTATCCACTAGAACCAGACATTCAATTTGTGGCTGAAGATGGGACTCATGCACAAGAATTGAGTCTCAGTGGAGAGCAGTCAAAAGGTTTTTTTAGGAAACAAAATTATAACAGTTCACATTAAATTGTTTCATTTACCACTATCATAGCAGAGTTTAGGGCAACCTTACTTTATGAATAAGATAACTCGTAAATATAAAACGAAATCAGCCACCAAATCCATGTAATCTTGTCTGGGTAGTGAAAGGGGCTGCGCTTGCCGCAACGCCGAAGCCGTTGTAGAAGTAACTTTGGGTTGATATTCCTGTGTAAAAAGTGTGGTTATGATTTAAAAAAGTCATTACTCATAAACTATACTTTTCCGCAAGGGAGTAGGGTTAGGGGCTTCCCCTGATTCCAACCACCCCCCAGCCCCCTCCCGCCCCGTATGCAAGTATCGGATGTCTATATTTTTACATTGTCATTGTCATCACATACACAGTACATTGTCTATAGTTTTTAAAAAACTTAAATATGAAAATTTTATAACATAAATGATCTTTGCCTATCTTAAATCTAAATAACACTATTAATACATCCTATCTGGTATTTGAAAAGGACGAAGAGAGAACGAAATGTGAAATATGGGTAAATCAGGAATGTCTAGAACAGGTAAATGAAATTGTATACTTGGGGAGTGCTTTCAGCCGGGATGGAAGATGTGATTTAGATGTGGACAGGCGTGTCGCTGCCGGAAACAAAGTCAATGGTGCCCTGAATGCATTAGTAAAAAAGGCAAGGCGTGGTGAAGAGTGCACGCCTTGCAATACATAATGCAGTGTTGGTACCGACTTTGTTATATGGCAGCGAAACCTGGGTATGCCAGAAGAAGCATAAAAGCAAGTGAATGCAGTGGAGATGCGATCTCTTCGTAAAATGTGTGGCGTTACCTTAGCCGACCGAAAGCGAAACGAAGAGATTCGCAATATGGCAGGATTGAAAGATGACCTTATCACAAAAATTGATAGGGGCGTACTCCAATGGTTTGGGCACGTTGAACGAATGAGTGAAGACCGAATGGTGAAGAAAATATATAGAGCGAAAGTAAATATTAAAAGGTGTCGAGGTAGACCGAGACTAACTTTCGAAGACCATGTGAGCAAATTGCTCGAAGAGGGGAGGGTCAAGAGTACTCGGATACCTAGACGTGCATGTATGAAGAAGTTAATGAACCTGAAAGAAGCGAAAGAGGTATGTAAGGATCGTGACACTTGGCGATCTGTTCTCTCTGGCTACCCCGTAGGGATTGTGCGTGAAGATAAGTAAAAGTAAAGTAAAGTAAAAGTAATACATCCTATCCAGAGGAAGCCGGGGTGGTTCACTAGTTATAAAATATAATATACATTTTATTCTGATGTTAAAATGAAGAAATTATATGTGTTTATTTTAGGAATGAGCGCTACAGTAATGCATATGGCGATTATAGAGGGGGATATGGGCCAATGAATAGTGGTGGTTTTGGTCCAATGAATGGCGGTGGTTTTGGTCCTATGAATAGTGGAAATTTTGGACCTCCGCGTAATATGGGCCCACCCCCTGGCAATTTTGGACCTAGACCATTATTTCCTCCAGAAGAAATGCAAATGTTCATGGGTAGAGGCTTTGGTCCCCAAGGTCCTCCTAATAGATTTAGAAAAAATAAGGATAAAGCTACTAGATATTTGATACGTAAGTATTAATCATTATGACAACATTCATACCTAAAATAGAAGTTTTAAAACTGTACATATATATTTGCATTTTATTGAAAACATTTTTTGTTTTTATATCTGCAAAGTACTTCAATGTAGCATAGCATTGGTGTTTTTATGGGTATTATTAAATTATATTCCTCAAATCTAACTATGGCACAGAAACATACATTATTGATGTTTATTTTTGCAAAAAAGTATGTGCGTGCGTGAGTGCGAGCGCGCGCGCGCGTGTTGTGAACGTGTGCGCGTGTTTAAACACACGCGTGTTTAAAAGTTGATAAATTTGAAATAATGTTTGCCTTACCTATTGCAAAATATAATATTGGATATATTTTGTTTGTCCAAAGACATTCTTTGACCTGAAATTTGTTTGACTAATATATGTCTTAACCCTAGATTCATAAACTATATTTAGAGTTACATTGTTCATAATCATATGTCTCTGATACACCTTACTTTTAAAGTCACCTAATTTAATAATTATGGTAGATATTGAAAAAAAAAACTGTGAATATTAGTTATAATGAACTTTTATTGAGGATTATAGCGTAAAAACAATTTAAAAAAAATCAATCCTAGCATTCTAGGTAATGTCAATTTTTTATTAAGCAGAAGTTACAAATTCCTGGTTTGATTTTCACCGATGATGCATATTTTTTTAGCATCGCCTCAAAGTTGGTGTTGCCGTAACCAGGGTTCTATCATCTTATCTGACACTTCTTTGATAAACTGCAAAAGTTGTGAAGAGATCTCGCGCTTGTTAGATCTAATTGAACCTACAATTGTTAATTTGTATGGATTCTGCAATAGTTCTTTTACTAAAGACACTGACGTGAACCAATTATTCATGGCCACATTACGATTACTGCCTTGAATAGTTTCGGAAAGTTGCTTCACAAAGAAAGATGCTAAGGGTTCTCCATTATCCGATGAGTCAGTAGAATTTATTCGACGTCGGAGACTAATAATTGATGCTCGAAGAGGTTTGTCATCAGAATCGCTTGAAGCATCTGTAAGTTCCTCACTATCTGTCTCTAAAATATCCTCAACTTCACTGTCCAAATCATTCGGAGGAACCACTTCTTCCTCGTCTCCCACTCTGGATAATATTGCATAAATCTCATCTTTATTCAAAGAAGCCGTGCTGGAAAATAATAACACAAAATAAATAGCATACCAGTAAATAATAACAGTAATTAACGAATTATTACCTCGTAAAATATTTTACTTACCAAAATTTTAACCACGACAATTGATAGTAATTAATTAGGTACATAGAATTTAATAGAATAAATACATACCTTTTTTTAAAAATTCTTTGACGTTCTTTCGTTTTATAAGACCAACAATAAAATCATCTACTTTATACATTTGTTACGCTAATCATATATATACGTATATCAAACACCTCGGGCTTAGTGTATCCAAAACTATTCATGTACGCGTCAAAACTACTGGTAAGCGAAGTGGTGGCCGAAGTGAGTTCTCGTCGTTTTAGGAAGGTACTGAGACGTTTGTATTTCCACCTCTTTCGCACCACGCGCTGTGAGAGTTTTATGAGAGACGTGTGTTTATGAATCTAGGGTTAAAGTAAAATCTTCAAAGACTGAAATTATTTTGTATATGACTTAGTTCTACAATAATATATAAATAATATCTTTTTGAAAAAAAATATGTCATTTTAAAGTCCGTGGACTAATCTAAAAAAAAAATATTTCGTATTAGTGCACGAATTTTATATTTGCACTTACGATGGCAAAATTTGTAACGAACAGACAAGAAAACGAGTTAATAATACATGTTAAATAAGCTGCTTGGTTGCTTTATTGGCATGCACTGACCAAATAATTGGATAAACATGAAAATGCTGCACTAAATATTGTAAAAATTTGAGTGTAATATTATAATTTGTATTAAAGAAAACCTACTAGTTGGCCCAGCCGGCATTGTTTTGCCCTTTCGTGGATGACGCGATAAGTTTGACTTCAAATTCACTCAGGACTTTTAACAATGTAAATATAAAATATATTGATAACATGTCTGTCTACTTATCGGGTACATTAAAATATTAGTAATTTTGGTTCATAAATAAAGAGTTTATCAATAACTTTCCTACAGTGTTAATTATCGGATCTTACCATAGTTTTAAGCTTATTGTCATGACGAAACAAATATATGATCTAGAAATAACCTGAATCGGTCAAGTCATTCAGAAGTTACACAATCACTAACAGAAGCATAAATTTTTCTTCTTCATCATCCGCCCAATAATTCCACTTGGTAGACAGATTGACAATTTCAATATCAGACGTTAATCATCTTCGACGCTGCTCCCTGTTGACGATCTGGGTATATTACGCATGGCGTAAAGAGAAAAGTTCATCTGATTAATCCAATTCCATTATTTGGAAGTCATAAGATCCCCATGAGACGAAATGGGGAAATGGATTCCCTTACACAACTATCACACTGCAAATAAACAAAATGTGAACCTTGTGAGTGACCCCCAATTCTTAGGTACTTATATAAAAATTTACATACCATAAAAATTCCTCTTAATGTTTTTTTATACATATACTGGGCGACTATTTTTACCGTCTGGAAAGTAATATGGTGTTTTGAGTAAGTGGAATAGAAGCTATCCTAGAAAGTATTTGTAAAATAAAACTGATAGGCAAAATTTCCGAATATCCAAAAATATATATAAAAACAATTCATCCTACAGCTTTTGGCGTTTTGTTGCTTAAAACTAAAATAGGTGATATTCTTTTAAACGGCACAGCGTTGGCTACGATTGCTAGTGAGACGCATGCACATTTCTTTCGTTATGTAGGCGCCAGTCCGCCGAGTGGGGGCCGAGCCATCTGGCCGATACATCATTGCAGCCAAAAATTTTAAAATCAGTTGAGCGCGCCTTACGTTAACAAAAAATATTTTGCTCTTATAAGTATTTAGGCACTTTTGATATTTATTTTTGATTTTGACCGCCTCGTTGCTTTAGAGGTTATAGTAGTGTGACAGCTGATTATGAGGTCCTAGGTTCGAATCCCGGGTCGGGACAAAAATTAAATTTATTGAGTTTCAACGTCAAGAAATTCTCAGTAGCTGCCCGCAGTCAGGAAGTTGGCGGTGTCTCACCCCCGTGCCTCGGAAAGCACGTAAAAAGCCGTTGGTCCCGCGACTGATCTCTCTCGGGTCGTGTCAGTTTACCGTCCCATCGGACTATTAAAGTGAGGGAATAAAGAGTGCACTTGTGCTTGCGCATACACTTGGACACTGTGATCCTGTCCCGCGTCGACAGCCTAGGCGCCTGGCCGGTTGTCGTAGAGGCTGGCCGTTTTTTTTTTGAGTTTTTATTAAAGTATGGCCTTTCAAAAAGTCAAAAGGTAATGCATAGCGTACGGTTGCTTAAATAACAATAAAAATATCGACTTTTCTTTCCTTATTGCTCTTAAGGATACTGAAAGGTAAGATATTATATATAGGTATATCTTAATAATTAGGTACCTAGTTACTGGCTCCATAGTTACAGATTCATTATTTGACTAGCTACCGGATCACTGCTTCGCGGTTTTCGATATTTCGCGTGTAATGTCGATGACCTTAAAACGTTCAGTGTAAGTAGATTTCCCAGTACTCGTTACTACCTACTAATGCAAGATCAGTATATACTGGTTCTTAGTAAAATACTTGGTCGATAATAAAAATAGATTTAAAATAGCAGCACTTTACATTGCCACTCTTTCATTAATAATGCCGTCGCGTGTCGCATGTTTATATATAGCAAAAAAAAAATGTAAAACAGAAAATGGTAATTAGGTAAATTACCTTTCGTTTCAGATTCTTATTTTTGTGTTTTCTATATTTCCTTCATACTTTTACGGGCTTAGGACCGTCTAATATGCTTGTGCACGTTTTAAATTCCAATGGCGGTAAATATTGACGTCGCTCCACAAGATGTTAGCTTGCGAATGTTCCTGCAGTCAACGACAAAACTCCTTGCGTGGTCCGAGGTCCGCGGCATGCAAAGCTTGCAGGCGTGAGAAATGGTATATGATATCTTCATTGAATGAAGAAGCTTCCATTCCACCTGCTGTCGCCAAACCAGAACGGTTGCCGGGGCGTCTTCAATATGTCTGGACAAAAGTGGCCGGTTCCTGCCTTTAGCATGGCTGGGAAGCCGGAACTGGCCATGATCACGTAAGCGCTGATACATTCGTAATATTAAATCAGTGCTGGGAATTAAAAGAGCAGGGATATCGCCCCTGCGCAACGATTGTAGGTGTTCTTCTTCTGCGTACATTCGTCTTGCACCGTCTAAGTTTTCACAAGACAAGACATAAAATTTCCACCTTTGCTAGGTATTCGACATTAGAGTATTGGTACATGCTTACGATTACTACCATCAGCGGGTGGCCAATACACACCCGGACACATAAACAATAAGATTTCACGCCGTGGCTATTTTTGCATATGGCTGAAAAATGAAATGAGAACGCGGGTGCAGGCGAGAGGACATCAGAGGCCTACCGCGGGTGTTGGTTGTTTAAAATGAATATATGCTGCTCCAGTAGTTCATTTATTTATTTCAAAACTTTTGTTTTTATTTTTTAGTATGGAAACTTAATTCACATTAGTAGAATTTATTGATAGATCAATTTCATATTTTGAAAAAAAAAAATCTAAATAATTGTAAAATATCAGTGCCATAGGCTTCTATTCCATTCACCTGTTACACCATATATTTTTCCAGGCGATAAAAAAATCATCCAAGAAGTGTTTGTCTGTAATATTGAAATAACTGGTTTTTTTATTAAGCTCAGGGAGGTATTTGCGTGTTATTAATAATAATAAAACTTTATTTCAGAAAATAGTCCATAAATAGGTTAGTAACATAAAATTATTATAGAATCATTGTTAGTTAAATTGCTTAAAATCTAAGAAAAAAAAATTATACATTTTAACAACAATATCAAATATTACTAAACTTATTTATTTAAAAAAAGTTATTTTATTATTATTACTTAAATTTTACATTTTAATTCTTATGCATGTGACAGCGAATCCAGTGTCTTAAAAGCGGACTGTCCCACCTATCGGCTCAAGCGCTTAAAATACTATTAGAAGAGTCTCTAGTACGAAAAAGAAGCGAGGTGCATCTCTCGCATTATAGCATAAAAGTCATCCGTACGTGCCTCCGCGAACATAGTAGATGCACTGCAGTGACGAGCTAGTCCTATCAAAATCCTAAACGCATTGTTGTATTGAACGTGCAGTGCACCATACCTGCGTGTACCCAACTCACATGTTACACGTATAAAGAGTTTGACAGTATGCTTTGAAATCATTATTTTAACCTGTCTAGTGGACTTAGCGAATCTGCGAGGACTGCCAGAGCTTTGCGTTCTCTCTCATTATCGCAGTCATCGCTCATGTTTGCTGTGAGCCAGTGCTCCAGATACTTAAACTGAAGTACTCTCTTTATAACTGACCCGCACCAATGTACAGGCGGTAAGTTAGCTCCTTTCTTAGTGTCTTCCCCAAAAATCATTAGCTCACTCTTTTTTGCGTTGCGTATAAGTCCATGAGTACTGGCATATGATTCACAAATTTTCACTAATTGTCTTAGTGTTCTGATCGGTGGGCTATCTTTCATCATTTAAATATCTGTTCGCAATATGATAATATCTTTCAATAATCGTGTAACGTAGTCAACCGTCAACGTGGTCGGTAGTAATCGGTGGCAATCTTTGCAAATATTTCGTAACGAAAATTGGAACAACATCTGGATCTTTTTCGTTAAATAGCGAAATTATATCGACCAGATCTTTTGTTTCTTGCCCTCATTGCGGCGATTAGATTGTTGCAGCTTGATTTCCCTTCGACGAATATTTTTTCGTTTTACAGATGGCAATTATTCAAAAAGGAGATATATTGCTTTTTTTCAAAAAAAAAAAACCCGCAAAACTGATAAATATATGGTCTTTGATTACCTTGAATCTAAATAACGCCACATTAATAGTTCATATCTAGGCAGAGCCGGGGCGGGTCGCTACGACCGAACTAAAACTAACACAAGTGACCACAAATCATCTAATAGCCACATTGCAGCCAGTGTGTCCAAAGACCGTACATTTAACTCTGTAATATGTATTATGATTGGCATGTTTGAGATGTTACCTAAGTTCTTTACATATAATAATATAAAGTAGGGTTTCAGTATATATCATTCTTCTTTCTTTTTAAATGGAAATTCTAGTAAAAATATATAAGATAAAATTTAAATAAAATTACCGTTAAACCTACGCAAATCATATTCAATTTACAAATTTATTCTTAGAGAATTAGTTTGTAATTAACATTAATTTGTTTTTCTCTTTAGGCTGTGGAGTCCCGAAAGAGCACTTGAAGAACTTGCCCAGAGCACTGTTGCAATTAATAGAGCCACAGTATTGCGGTTTGTGTGCTCAAGAATTCAATTCATTTGCTATATGTAAGTTTTTTATTACTTGTGTAGTTGACAATAAATATGTAAAATTCCTGAATAATTATAATATTATAAAACATGGTGTTATTTGTAACTACAATAAATTTCTTACAGCTCGCACACATTATGTTTCCAAAAATCATCTGAAGAATCAGAAAAAATGGTTATCGCAACAATCAGAAGGGGGATTCCAACAAGCTAGAGAGGTAAATGGACGATTTGTCAATGTAATGTTTCTTTAGGAGTTTTGTTGACCATTTGGTTCACATAACATAGTAAAAATCATCAAATCAACTTGTACATGGGTATTAACCGAAGAGAACACATGTTTTCCTCACTTGTATTGCTGTCTACTTTACAAATGTAATTGTTGACAGTTAAATATCAAGTGAAACTTATGTGAACACTGTTGACGAAACTGAAACTTACATTGTAACAAATTGTCTGGCCATGCGTTGTATCAAACGTATGGTTTTTAATACTCGCATTTGAGATTAGAATTTACTGTTCATAAAAATATACTGTGGTGACCAGACTCACAGTATATTTGAATGACTTGGTATTACGTATGTAATGTTATAGAGTTTGTTCTTAAGCAAATTTAAATATCATTTTTAAATGTAATTTTAAACACAGAATCGTTAAAAAAAATATAGTATAACTAATTCTCTTAAACTTATAATATGGTAGGTGGGATTATAATTTGGATTTGATTTCATGGCGATGTATACTATTCAATTTTGCAAGTAGTTTCAGTTTTTAATTTTTCTTTCAGATCCCATTTAAGTCACGTGAGTTGTACTGTGAACTATGTGATGTGCATATTACATCTAAATCTCATGCTGATTCGCATTACGCCGGAAAACCCCACCGCGCGTAAGTAAAAAATATTATTTACCAATGTTTTATCATAATCATGTAATTATAATAAGCAAAATAGATGTATGACCAAGGTAAATTGAAAGTTTTGAAAATCAAAAACGGACTAAATTATAAAGTTGCTAATAAGAAAACCAGCAAAATCTTTGTTTTTAGAGTAATCTCCATTCCTGTTTTGAGTGTTGCTCCAAATAATTTAAAAGAACTGACAAGCTCACTGTTAATTTAGCCTACAGTTTAGTTACTCATAATATATAACTATTGCACAATTTTTTGAATTTTTCATCTATAAAGTTTTATCAGCAATTCTTCAACAGGAAGACCTATTGTGAATAATGTACATTTTTATAATTAGAATTTATTCCAACAATTCATGCTTAATAATTATTTGGGTTCAATCAGTACAATACTTCCAGACATTTTGTATGTACAATGTCTACCAGCTTACCCAAACCTGTTGGTGGACTACTTTTATAATCTTCTGCGCCGCACAGCAATGACGCTATCTTCAGTTGTTTCTGTTGATAAATGCCCCTTATGCAGATCATTAATGAGATGTTGATGTTTGAGATTGACCAGAAACTTATTGAACCAGTTATAACTTCTGACTTGTGGTAAAGCTTTAGCATAACATTTTAGTTGATTAACACATTGTTAGTCTTAGATAGAGCGTAATTTTTCGCGTTAAATTAATTTTGACATGCTACATACCGTAGACAGAGAAACCTATAGACTAATGATCGGCGTGGCCTCGAGTGAGAAAGAACGATAACGAATTTTTAGGTTATAGAATAATCTTTATGACTTAAACACATTTAGATAAAAATTTTAATTGTTCTAAGAACTGAACTGAACAAGATTCACCAATCTTAAGCTCACAAAACACTTTTTTTCTCACTTAAACCAACTTGTAAACTCGTTAAATCGCTACGCTGTCAAAGTTGTTTAGCAAACTCTACAGTCTAAACAAAAAAACCGGCACGAAGAAAGGGACAAACAATCACACCGCTCTATCTCATTTCTATGCAAGACGTATGCATAAATCTATCTTTTTCGTGTGCGAATGCGAAGGAAGGCGTCAATTTGTCTATAGGTTTCTCTGTCTACGCTACATACACTGTGAATTACTGATATTTTTCATTAGCGCTGTTTCTTTGGCCAACGCTATGAATTAATACCAGGGTTATATTAATAACCCTGGTATTAAGCCATAATATACGAAAGGAGGTTCAAAAATCAGAGGAATGAAGGGGAAAGAATAGGGATAGTACAATTTTCTTAAGTACCCTCATTTGCTTACTAGTAATCACTAGTGATGTGCCGGATCGTTAAAAATGTATATCCGCGTATATAGATCTGAATACGGATATTTGGTTTCAAGATCCGCGAATACAGATCTTAACTTACTCAATCGGTGTTGATGCGCATGACCATGAAACAATAGTAACTTTACGATAAAGTGTCATTAAAAATAAAATGACACGATACAAGATTTTGAGAGTTTCCTTTCAGAATCTTTATCACGAGTTTAATTGTTATCCTTAACATGTTATGGTATTATTAAAGATTTTAAACGAAAAAATATCGTTTTGAAACCGGAAGTTCTTAAAAAAGAAAGCAGAAGTTCTTGAAAAACGTCACACGGGAGTTTATATTTCGGAAACATTTCAAAGTATATTAGAAGAATGGGAATTTCGAAACAAAAAATGCTTTATATGATAACAAATGGGAGATCCAATATGCAGCGCGCCTGGTATTTATCTGAAATACATAATGTCGACTGCATATTAGTATCAGTTACATTTGGTGGTTAAAGAAGCTATTACAAAGTTTATAATAATATTAAGGAATTTATGGATGATAATAACCCCTGGGAAGGGTGATCTAATTTGTCTTGTGTTGTTAATTGTAAACATGATTGTAAGCTATTATTTGAAAAAAAAATAGTCCCACTGGGTTTCTTGCTGGTTCTTCCCAGGACAGAGGTTTTTTTTTTGCGAACCAGTGTTAAATGAAAAAATTGACTTTCAATAAGTATTGCTTATAATCTACATTGAATAAAAAAGTTTCTGTTTCTGTTTCTGATATAATTTCCGTTTTATTTACAAAATGTAGGAAAATTGCAATACTTTTCAATAATTCCACAATGGAAAAGTAAGAATTCGAAAAAATACAAGTTCAACTCATACAAAAAGTTTTAAAAGTTTTGCAAGACTCACCAAAATGCTTTAATTACATCGTTATATATTTACGTTATATTATACGTTAGAACGATTTGATTTTGATTCGCTTTATTCTTCTAATAATAAAATAGAACAATTTGTTGCCGATGGATTTTAATTCAAGAATATTAAATAAAAAATAATCTGAATGCAATTTAATAGCTTTTCATTGCTTCCTAATCACCTATATATTGGAATATCATCTATGTATTGAAAATTTGCCGGTGTCAATGAAATTGTTAATTGCAATTTTAAGTGCTGATTTACCACATGCTCGTCGATGAAGGAAAACATCGTGAGGAAACCTGCATGTCTGAGAAATAAGAAAAAAATATTTCGAAGACATGTAAAGTTCGCCAACACGCACTGGGGCAGCGCGGCAGACTATTCCTTGCCCTAAAACCCTCTCAGAAATGAGAGGAGGCCTGTGCCCAGGAGTGGGACGTATATAGGCTGTAACTTTAACTTATATTGAAAATTTATAGGGTAAAAGATCCGCCAAAAAATAACGGATACGGATCTTTCTTCTCCCTCGGATATCCGCGGCTATGAATACGGATATCTGGCACATCACTTGTAATCACCTAACAAAAAGTTAATCTAGAAAATAATTGCAATTTATAAAACAAATTGAACCTAACGCTGTGTTAGTTCCTGATCAAGCAAAGAAATTTCGCTTAAACGCTAATGAATAAAATTGCAAGTGTTTAGGAACATATCTGTGCCCATATCAAACAATTATTATTCTTAAGTGAGATGCTCATCTGCGTTACTAGAGTATCAGATCCACAATTTGAAGATCTTGCACAAGTGTTTGCAAGATTTATTTTATCTTTATATCTTATTTATCGAGAAGAATGTTGACACTTAGCTTAACAGCATCAAGGAATCAACACATCGAGGTTTTTAGGAGCTGTGTGGCGAGGAACCTACCTCAATTTCGGAGTTGTAACTGGAGATAAAATATGGGTTCATCTGATTACTTTCAAACTATGCACCTGTCTAAAAAATCTGTCAATGAAATATATTTTTTGTTACAGTATTGTAGAAGGTCGAAAAATGCCCCGAAATCCTGCTTTACTGCAGCGCAGTATGTCTAACCGATTGTAAGTATTATTTTTTACTTAAAAAAACACGAACGACTTTACTATTAATCAATGTAGGGAGAAAAAACATGCGTGCAGCTCACACGCGACAGAAGTGAAACCTTCTAATGAAATGAAATATAAAATACAAATACTTTAAATGATTTATTTAATATTATAATTTAAACTACAAGTTCAGCATAAAATATAAAAAAATTTAATTTTATAGTAAATAAATGTAACAATCCTTTTAATATATATATATATATATATATATATATATATATATATATATATATATATATATATATATATATATATATATATTAACGTGTAACATAATTAACGCACTTTGAGAAAGTAGTTTGTTCAGAATCGTTTACTGAATTCGATTCCTATCATTTTTAATATAGGTAATTTTTTATCCCAAAAATAATTAAAACTACGTAAATTACACTCACACTAAATTCAACCGTAACTTAAGATCGCACATAAACCAACCTAATGAAATGAGAGAGAAGGTAATTTTTATGTTCACAAAATTCTTAATACAAGGTTTACATTTTGCACAAAAATCCCATATCTCCATTGTCTTTTTATTTTTAAAGAAAGTCACGTCAATCTGTAGTTTTTACTAGCGCTTGCGTACCATCCTACCTGATAGGAAGTAATGACAGCCAAAGATACGTAAGCACACTGACTTGCTTAACAAAAGCTTATTATTTTTACGAAGAAGCAGAGTTTGGTTCATGTACATGGTATGTCTGCAACAAAAGAGTTGAATCTCGTCGAGCATTTCAATGTCCCAAAGTGGAAGGGAGAGGGAAGAATTAATTCATGTAACATTCCACAGGAGCATGTAGGAAATTACAAAAGTATGTTTGGTTTACTGAATTCTCTTAATTTTCGTGTTTTCGGAGATACGTTGCTGAGTATGATAGACTTGTGATGCCTGCTACATGCGTCATACTAGAGGCTGGTTTGCTCGGATTTGCTATACGTTGATAAGCTCCAAATTTTTAATTTCTTTTTAGTGATTCATAGAACATACTTCAATTACATTAGGGCTCATAGACCCATACTGTAACTGAAATCGTTTTCCATTCTGTATATACTATGGCAACTTTAAAAAATATAACTAAAATGACAAAAAAGAGGATCCCTACGGAGCTTCTTTTACCTCTTCTAGCTTCTCAGGTCAGGGGAAACTCATTTAGAAGCGGCAGTAGATTTAGTAGGCTTAAGCTAAACTAACTACCTTCAAAGTTTCATAAAATGTGGAATATGCGAGGCAATATATTCAAGATCAAAGGTCGCAATTACAGTACCCGGCGATAAATATTGCACATCGACCTTTGAAAAGAGACAATCGGCTAATTTCTGCTTCGTAGAGCGTTATCTCTGTCGCACACTGACTGACGGACTGTTTGTATTTCGTGCGACAGAGATAACGCTCTACGAAACCGAAATTAGCTGATTGTCTCTTTCCAAAGGTCGATGTGCAATATTTATCGCCGGGTATTGTACTATTGTACTATGTAAATCCACTGCTGAACAATAGGCCTTCCCCGTACCGCGTAGATTGTTTCATATTTGTCGCTGTTGCCACACCTGCAGGTGGTTTGGCCACCACATTCTGCTGCTATATGCAGTTGAAACAAATTGTAACATATTTATGATGAATTTTGTGGCTGTAATAATTAATTATTAAATAAGTACAATATTTTTATTAGATAATCAACAAATATTCATCAATGAATATTTTTTTATATAAAGGATATTTTGAAATGTTTATAAATAAAAATATACATCGACATTTATAGGGAACAACTTATTCGTCGTGAAAAGAAGAATTTAAAGCCATTGGAAGACGCAGAACTCAAAGAGGAGCAGGCTAAGGAAACCAAAACTGTCCAGTCGGAGCTGTATTGCGACATTTGCAAGGTAAGAAGATTTGCCAAGTGCTCTTTTTTGTTTCATACACAAGTAATTCATAAATATTTACTTTATGTTTTTAATCGGTTAATTGATTTTTTATAAATAATTTCTTTCAGACTTCTGTAACTTGCACCGAGCAAATGACCATGCATTTGAATGGTAAAAGACATTTGCAAAAGGAAAAGCAGCATATTCTTAAAATGATGAAAGGCGACACCAATGATAGTAAGTTTATCTTTTTAAAGTAAAGTAAAGTTACAGCCTATATACATTCCACTGCTGGGCACAGGCCTCCCCTCATTTCTGAGAGGTTTTTAGGGCAAGCAATAGTCCGCCACGCTGCCCCAATGCGTATTAGTGAACTTCACATGTCTTCGAAATATTTTTTTTCTTATTTCTCAGACATGCAGGTTTCCTCACGACGTTTTCCTTCACCGCCGAGCACGTGGTAAATCAGCACTTAAAATTGCAATTAACAATTTCATTGGTGCCGGCGGGGATCGAACCCGGTTTCTTCGCGTATTGTGAAATTTACAGCGAGCGCTAACCATCTGAGCTATCACGGCCCAAGTTTATCTTTTTAATTTTTTGAAATATTTTTTTATTTCAACTTATAAAATACTTCTTGTTTTGTAGATAAGGACAACACAAAAGAAGGTGGTGAGGAAGGTACGTTTTTTTTTTAATTTTAGTTTGCTATTTTATCTAGTACATATGCGGCTTTCATTAATATTCCACATACATTTTTAGATGATGAAAATGAAGAGGAAGGAGATGAAGGGGAAACTGATAAAAAAGATGACGGAGAAAATGGAGATGAAGAGGGAGACGAGGTAGAGGCAGTTGAAGGTGGAGACGCAGAAGCGGGCGCTGGAGGTGGTGAAGATGATTTCGATTGGGGCAATGGTAGTGGAACTTGGGATGAACCTGAAACTATTCAGTGGTAATTCAAATATTTATTCAATAATTATGACGTCTGCGTCTCAATAAAATGAAATAAAATTAAAATTAATTTCATCTAATTTATTTTCAGATCTATCCATGAGTAGAAGAAGAATGCACATTGCTGTGCTGAATCATTACTTGTCTATTTAGTAGAACAGACTTCGTGTCGTCTTTATCTATACAAACCTTACATGTCTTATTCCATTAAAATAAATATATGTGTACTACTTGTGTATGGAAATTTGTCTTTTACTTTGATTTAACTACGCCTAAAAATTTATTCATGTTTAAGTAAAACTATACTTAGTTTAAATTAAACCTTGTAGAGGCGGTGTAAGAATATCCACTGTCCCATATCATCCCGTAGGTGTCGTAACAGGCGACGAGGAAAAAATACCAGGAGATGGGCAGTAAGTAGCGTTGCTGAAGGTGGACGTACTTGGAAGCCCTGGTACTCGATTTTACAAGTACGACCCATCTCTAACTGCGACTGCCAGCCCGCTTATAGGTCTCGTCACGGTTTAATAGCGCTCGTCCCAAGTGGAGGGACGCTCTGCGCAAGTGTTATCACAAAGAGGTGATTGGATAGCGGGCGAATGAAATTCTAAGAACCAAATATCCCTTATTAAAGAAAAAACGAGTTATAAGTAATTTTTTTGTAATTAAAAAATTTGCGCAATTGAAATAAATTTACCTTTTTTATGTGGTTGATTTAGATGATAAATAAACGTGACAAATAAAGAAATTGCTCTAATTTTTAATATTAAATAAGTTTTAACAATAAAACGAAAGATATTCAATAAATTCTAATTATTTATGGCGGCAGTGGTGTTATTCCTTCCATCAAATCGTCGTCGTTAAACTTTTTTTTTGTAATTCTTTCTTTTTAAAAAACGTTTCCTCCACACTAGGATTTTCTCCTGTATAGTGGGGGAAGTTTACAAACAAATTTCACAAGGACAAACATCCAGACCCGGAACAATCAATTGTAGGCCATACAAATATTTGTTCCGTGCGGGATTAGAACCCGCGGGCCCGCGGCCCTTCGCGCTGTAATTCATTGCTAAGTCTGCGCCACGGAGCCGTCTAACATTGTTTTAAATTGTAATGATCGATTGTAATTTTCATTTGTTATACTAGTTAATCCAGTTTCCTCTCGAATTCGCTTTGATTGATTGCAAATTCCTACCAAGCATTACTAGTTGTTCGATTTTTAATGTGGTGTAAGCTTTTAATAGTTATTTCCAAGTTTATTTTTGTGTTTTGCCTGTTTTAAAATACCATTAATTTTAATTGTCTTTTTTTAATGAAACATTTCAAGTCGTACATCTTTTTTCTAGTTTGCCTAGTTTACAGTTTTTTGTCGGCATCTTTCACACTAGAAATGAAAAAGTAATAATCGAACTTATAGAAACAATGATATGTGCGACTGTACTCTAAGGCCGGTTTTAGTGCTCGACCGACCGTACGCACGCATATATTGCTACGCACTGCGTACGAGGACCGTCGGTCAAGCGAATTATTGTGTATTTATTATTATTATTGTGTAAATATTGTTTATATTAAACGTGGCATGTATCGACACCGAACGCCTAATTACCGAACTTCGTCTTCGTGAACTTCTGTAGGACAAAGGCCACGTGTTATACAAAGACCGTGATGCCAAGTTAAAGACCTGGGAAGAAGTTTGTACAGCTTTTTAATTTCCGAATTTGATGGGTGTACGTGATATCTAGGTCTTCTGTTCCTTATACGTTTAGGAACATACTAAGCAGCAATTAAACAATTTGTAAATTTGTTTGACGGCTCCGTGGCACAGCAACTTAGCAATGAGTTACAGCGCTGAGGGCCGCGGGTTCGAATCCCGCACGGGGCAAGTATTTGTATGGCCTACAAGTAATTGTTCCGGGTCTAGATGTTGTCCTTGTGCAATTTATGTATGTAAACTGCCTCCACGATACAGGAGAAAATCATAGCAAACCTTAGTGTGGCGGCGCTGTCGTTGCGTCGCAAGCGAAACATATCGAAGCCTAAATCACGCTATCAAAATTCCGAATCATAAAAAATACGTGTGGCACTCGGTGACTGCCGCGGTAAAGCTATTGCATAGCATTTTTTATCAACTTATGCAATTATAATTATTTACAACGCACGCACACAAACACCGTGCCGAAGTCTGAAGTCTGCCGAACTGAAACGACGTTAGACGATGCACGGCTTTCAACGCCACACCTCCGTGACTGTCGGAGTGGGGATCGTGAGGTTTTTTTTCGTTACGGAATTTCTGGATGCGGTCCCGCGCTCAAGGCCCGCGATAGAAGCTATGCAATAGCTTAAAAAAGTATATATAGAACATCTCCGAACTATCACATGGAGCGTTGGCCGCTCCCCGGGCAGAACACCTTGCCCGGCGGGAGATCTCCCCTTTTCCTTCCACGGCCACAGTGGTGACCACCCGACGTGATCTGAACACGCAACCAACAACCTTCGGAAACTTCAAGCTTCATTATCGTCATAAAATACCCCACCCATTAGCTCCCGAGCAGATATCGTCTGCAGTTTTCATATCCTGCAAGCCATCTAGCTTCACAAGGTTCATCGCAGCACTGGAATAATAGTGCTTCCTGTTCCTTCAAGCTACTCTCTGCGCTACAGTGTTCGGCACCGCTCTGAGCCTTACTGCTCGCCTCTGCTTCACGGGACTCTCGCAGATTACTTCCCTTCTTCTCGACTCACCGCAGACTACTCCACCACTTGCACATTCATTCCACCACTTACATATCCACTGGCACTTGCACATTTGTCGGCAACGAGGCTGCACTATCGACTACCGGTCTGAGCAGGGGGGTGATGTGGCGGCGCTGTCGTCGCGCCGCAAGCGAAATACATCGAAGCCTAAATCACGCTATCAAAATTCCTAATCATAAAAAGTATATATAGAACATCTCCGAACTATCACATGGAGCGTTGGCCGCTCCCCGGGCGGAACACCTTGCCCGGCGGGAGATCTCCCCTTTTCCTTCCACGGCCACACTAGTAAAGTAACGTTATAAAAATACTGGAAAAACACTGAGTGTGCTTAGGCTGCCTAATTTATTTTTATGTTGAAAAGTACATCATTATTTTATTTGGACATCATCGTCCAAAAGGCTTGGGATAAAATTTATAAAAAAACGTATTTGTTCGTACTTATTAGTTTACAAGTAACGCATTGGACGATAGCGTTCAAATAAAATAACGATGAAGTACTTTTCAACATGAAAATAAACTACGTACTTACCTCGGTAGGTATGTAGTTTATTTTCATGTTGAAAAGTACCTAAGTATACGTCGACTCGTAAGTAAGCAATAAGCATCTATAGGCATAGGTACAAGTCGTATCATGTTGTACCTGTCTATAATATAGGTATCGCCACACGAGAAGGATCTTTTGGTGCACCCAATTATTATCTGAAACTATTTTATAAATAAACGCTGGTTATATCAATCAATTACAATATATTTGTATACTACGTAGATGTATTCATCCTAACGTTTTTTTTTAAATAAAGAAAGCGTCCATTTCGTGTATGTATTTGTGACTACCAGTCCGGCCAGTTTGGTTGGTCAGGAGAGCATGGAACTTTACAAACTGACGATCGGTTATGCGTATCGTCAGGAACGATGATAGGCACCGACGGTCGGCCGAGCACAGCCGAGCTCTAAAAAACTGGCCTAAGGGCCTTGCGACGTGTGAACGGAGCAAGACGTGGGGAAGGCGACTGAGCGACCAATAGAACGCCGGCACCGAGAGCCTCTTCCGTCGCGTCTCACTCCTTTAGATAAAGAGATCTAAAAATCTACTTCTGCGCATTCAAGGTCAGCGCTATTAAACCGTGACGCGACCTTATACCGAACGTGGCAACTATGCTGCCCTGATACGGAAGAAGGAGGCTAACCCATAAAAGTATGTTTCGATAAAAATTGAAAAAAGTGCGAAATTGGTTTTCTTGGCAGGATTTACTGAGAAAAATGTTTCAACTTGGAATGTATGTAAAAAAATTATGAACCTTAAACATATTTTTGAGTGAAATGATTGGCATACTGTTCTGTAAAATATAAATATGTAGTTAACGTAAGTATTGAATCATTATAATTGAATATTCATCACAATATGAAAGGTATTTAAGTTATACCTTCAGAGCGTATGGGCGTTTTCCAAAAAAAGTTGTACCTTGAAAAAAGTCAGTGTCCGGCCACTTTCAGAATAAATTATCAAATATTATAAAAGTTTTTATTACATATCATTTATTTTAATAATAAAGTAACATATAGTCTCATAAATCAAATAAAAATAAGGTCTGAATCTGTTATAAATCAAAAATAAAATCAAAATAAGTAAAATGGGGTCGATGTTTTTGGTATGTCCCACATCTACTGTGTCAACTTCAGAGTCACATAATACGGTCGTGTTATATTATTATTCAAACTTTTTGCATTTGACTGGTCATTTATGAACGTAACTTCAATTTTAAACCTGAAATGTACATGTTACGGTTGAAAATTATTTTAAAATACCAGATTTTGTGTTGTCCTGCAAAATCGCGTATGATGGAATTTCCGCGTACGTGACCGCATTTTCAACGACTTCCAACAAAAAATACCACCAATTCAATACATTTTCCCAAATATAGCAACATTATTAGTCTATGGTGGCTGCTGTATTTAATTTTTGACAGCCAGTTCGCCAACAAAACGTAATCGAAGTGGTCGTCTCGACTCATGTAAAAAAAATAATTCCACAAACGATACTGCTTTTCTCCAGGTAACGTATTCATGTGTATTTCATTCTATTTTCTATTAAACATGTTAATTTATTGTTATTTGAAATGTTAAGTTATATTGAACAAAAGTTTGATAACTAATTAGTAAATTCATTTGAAAATTTTATTGGCATGGTTACGTTACCTCCATTAGCGCTACTATCGCATGAATGGAACTCAAAAGTGACGTAATGGAATCC